AAAGAGAGCTCGAGCATTTCATTTTCAAGTTAATTCAGTGGACTAAGTTGTTCGACATCATCAATTAAAACTTTTGGATTTTGATCATATCGACCAATTTCAATCATTAGATTGTGGTTACTCATCGTTACGCAGCGATATTATCAAAATACTCAAGCCTCTTTGAAAATTGTTCATTTACTCCTAATGTTCGACACATTTTATGTCATGCAGGAAGTGAATGGGACTACGTGATCTTATCTCTGGTGCGCTCGCTGAATAAGGATGATTTCGAACCAGAACCCTCCATGTATTGGTTGCGTGAACATTTGGGATTCTTGACGGACGAGCATCTAATGAACGTCGGGCTCACGAGGGCGCGGAAAGGGCTCTGTGTCATCGGTACGAGGAAAATATGTTGATTATGTTGTCATTTATAGTTGAGTAATACCATGTACACTTTAGGCAGAAACACGTAAAATGGACGAGAGTTTCGTGGCCAGTAAGTTTAATGAGATTAAACTGTATGGCGAACGGACATCGACTCTTTCTTATAATTCACACCGGTTTCCCGCCGTTTTAAAGAACTCTAATGGATTTTTCCTTTAAAAGGCACTAAATTGACTCAAAGTCACAGTTTCGGAAAGCGAAAATTCAAGCAGGTGTTTACAGCCCAAGAAGCTCGTTAATTTAAAAAAATCTGACGCCATAGGTCAAGCTCCTCTGTAAGTCCCAAGTACAGTCCACTTTTCTAATTTTTTTTAAATCTTTATAATTTTACTGACCAATTTTTTTTCCTCTAGGTAACAAGAACTTACTGGTGCTTCATCCCATGTGGCAAGAGTTACTAGAATTCTACGAACAAAGAAAATGCGTGGTAAACGAATCTGGCTGGCCTGTAAGCTTAAAATCTTAACCATAATTTTGCAGATTATTCAAGATGGGCTCTCTTATTTTGAATAAACCATTTTTCTACGAAAAAAAGTTAACCTAAGCTGCCCTAAATTCATTCTTGTAGGTATAAATTAGTAGGTCACTTACTCACTTTTAAATGGCCTCAACATATGTAATCTCCCTCTAAAACACGTCAAATAGTCAGGAGAGTATTCTTGCCTCTGCTGAATGGGATTCTGATCCATTCAAAACCAAATCCGCCAATCTTTATTGAAAAAGGATACACGGTGCTGTCAGGGAAAGGTATTAACATAAAGGACAATTCAATTTAACTGTCACTCGATTCAATCAACTACAGAACACAAAATAGATTAATGCATTGAAAATCAAGAAAAGAGTCAAAATTTAATATAATTTTACAAAGAAGGAGAATTTTCTACAATATTTTTTTCCACGGAAAATTGATAAGCTGGTTACGTACGTGCTACGGTGCAATTTGTCATCCAGAGAAATCAATCAAACGGTTTGCTTTATTAGATAAAGAATTTTAAAACACACGAAGCTTTTAAAGAAGGCTTTAAATTCTTTTAATAACAACCGCAGTTAGTAACCAAACCATGGCTTACTTTGCAAAACGATTCAATTTGAATGAAAATGTTGGTTCAGAAGTTAGCTTTGTGTATTGGATAGTTTTGATATTCTTGCACAAATGCTTTTCAAGACACACTTCAAATAAAATATCGAAACAATACCTCTTTAGTGAAGTTAATTTCTTTTTTCTCCCCGGGATCAGCTATTCGAAAAACGATAAGCAGCAGCTGTCATACGAAATGTTTTTGTGCACTTTCAAGCTATTCAGTTTGCGGGGCTATGGGAAACTATCAGCCAAAGTTGGGCGATACAAAGCATATGAAGAAAAAGAAAAGTAAAAATCTGAATGATAAATTCACATTGACTCTTGGTAGCCAGATCATGCGCTCAACAATTCAGTCTTTGTTTAATGGCCTGCTCATGTTTATGAATAACGCAAAATTAACTTGTTTGCAATTATACGTTAGATATAGTTTCTTCACCGGCCACAGGTTTACTTCATGCTTCGATAAGTGCGTCAATTTAATTTTATCTAATAAGAAAATTTTCATAACGCATCTGTAGACAATAAAAATATCGATGTCTACTGGCAAAAGTTATTAAATTGGTAATTATAGATGAAATGCTGTACCGGTTCAAATGTTTTTCTATATTTTCATAACAATTACAACTACAATTGGATACCTGTGTTCTCCTTGTGCTTGTCAAATGCGGTATTATTACTGCAAAACATGCTGGGAGATTTCGACCAATCGGGTCAAGAGGCAAGTCCTTAGGCCTTCTTACGGAGGTAGTAGGGACCGTTAGCAGTTAGAATGGCAACGCCAAGGAAGACTTCGATTTAAAAATGAATTTATATTTCCAGTTGGAATCCCACTAGATGTGCTTATTGTCTCTTACGGCACCACAAGTTAATCTCTAATCTCTAATGATTTCAAGTTGTTATTTTGCCGAGGACGGCTAAGAAATGTACACAGTATTAAAATGCACGTGCTGAGCTAACTTTCTACTCACTAGATCTTTTGTTTGCCACTTTCTCGTAGCCGTCACCGTTTTGGTTTGCTTAAGGTCCCTAGTGTCTCGATATGTACAGTGCCCTCCCGCTTCTCCTTCCCCCTAGATGGTGTACATTCAAGGGAATCTATTGATGTATTGACTCACCGAGCTGTTAGTTTTACTTTATTTTCCTTTTCCTTTTTTTCGATTGTAGTATCTTATATGAAAAAAAAAAGGTTCTCCAAAGGGCTTTTTATCCGGAAAACGTAGCAGACATGAGTTACCGTATTGCCTCTCTAGACTCCTTCATTAGCCACCTACAGATACTATTTTCATGCACTCTCACTGACCTTTCTTAAGTTTTGGCCGCACATTGAGTAATTGCAATTATAATCATCCTCATGAGATGAGGAATTTCTTTGTTTCTCCTCACTTGAAGACAACAATAATTTGCTGAATGTATGTGAGCTATGGAGCCACCTAATATGCCGTTATGATCGTAAGTCATGCCTCGTGGACGGTGAGGACTGGTCATGGAGATATAACCAGTAGTACTTATGTCAGAAAGGGAGATTGTATGTGCTTACTAATATTGCAACGTGCTCACTCCCCTGAAAGATGGAAGGCACCTATTTACGTGACCCTCCACGGGGTTTCAGGGGATAAGGTGAACGCACGCATACGACACGTAATAACGCACTCGCACGCCAATGGCATGACACGCTTGCCGTGCAGAAACAAACGATTTTGGCAAGCGTGTTCGTAGCCATTGTTCATATTTGGCTAACACAGTAGAGCTTTTTTTCTATAACGCGCCATTTTTTTTTTATTTTAACGCTAGCTTAGTTTGTACAACCCAGCTCAATTTGTTACTTGTGTTTGTCAGCTTCTTAAATGTGAGAATGGCGTTTGTAAAGTTTTATTACACGCAGAATATTAGCAAAAATGAAGAAGATGTTCTGTCCTATCCGAAAGTTGTAATCGAAAAAAAAAAATTCACGGCAAATCACGGCTCTTTCACTCAGGATTTTCACAAGGATTTCAATGAGCACGAAGTGTTTCACAAGGTCTAGAGGAGCTCAGTTTGAACACATGAATTTTTTAAAACTTAAATCTTACCTTGTGAAGTATAAATCCTTATTGCTTCACGCAGTTAATAAGCCTAGTACCGAACCTTTGTGAACCTTTAGCAACAGATTTCCAGCTCCATGTGCAAATCGAAAGCAACTTTAACTTTAAGAAGCGTATTCTAAATTTGCACGGTCACTGTGTTGTATCGTGCGAAGTTGCGAGCAATATTTTAACACGTCCCTTGGCTTCTACCGTGCGAAGCAAGACAATGGCTGCGGTGGTAATGAGGCAAGTAACTAACACGCAGCTAACGTGTTAATAGCTAGTTGGTACTTTGTCGTTACGGCTTTTCTCAAGGCCGGAAATCACTCTATAACACTGCAGTTCATGCGATAAAAGCTAGTTATTTTGTTTTGGCGTGGGAGCGTACCGTGTGCTTATGCTCACCTTATTCTCTGAAATCCCGTGGAGGGTCACATATGGTAATGAGCTAATGCAACCCTCCGAAAAATTCATGCACTTTGGCTTAGCTGAGCTCGGCTAAGTGTGCTGCTTTCGTTCCGCTCCAGCCAGTGGCTCACTAATTTTATTTGAACTTTTCACCCAACTATTTTAAGCGCATTTTACAAAAATATCCAAAGCATGTTTGTTCTGTTACGCCAAAATGCTGCTACACTCATTATCCAGCTTTTCGTTTTCTGGATTACAATGACCTGATTGTGTATAATTTACCCTTATCTTGGGAAGGCACACCATGCATAAGGCAGAAGTTTCACTGGAAAAGGAGTAATTTAATAACATTTCAAGTATAATTTTAGAGTTATAATTTTTGAATAATTGTAATCATGCGATAGTAACTAAAAAAGTAATCGCTTGAATCCATACTTATCGGGCTTCACTGTAATAGAAAACCATTTTATATCTGAAAAGTTTTGTTAAGAAGTGAAAGTGATTTAACTGCCAAAATTCCAAGGGGAGTGTGACTTTCTTCCTAGAACAATCCGTGTTCAAAGGAAATGTGATTTACGCAGTCTTTCACAGTCAAGCCTATGCAAATTTTTGACTGTTGAATGGGAGAGATCTTTATAAATTCAGTAGCAACGAGTGTTGATAACACGTTTTTGGGAATGTGCAGTTGATGTGGGAAATAAAATCGGTGTTTTATTTATTTATTTGACCTTTTTAAGTTTTTAGACTTCATAAAACCTAACATTGTGAAAGATGACGAAGAGAAGGGTTTTCAATAGGGGCTTATCCTTTTTCTCCTCCGTCGATTGTTCATTATTCAAATAAGAGACGTCACCAAAGCTCGCATATGCGACGGCTCACAGCAGGAGGATTTATAAACAGTTTTCCAGCGTGTGTCACATAACTGCATGTGTGTATGATTTGCTTCCCCCATTTCGATTGATCTTTTCCGATGTCAGAACTTCTCTCGTTGATACATTTATTTTTTCATTCACGAAAGCAATGTTAATTTGGCTCGCTGGAGATTATAAAACGACTTTACTGCCTTGAGAGGCTATCGTAGGAAAGGATAACCATGAACACTAATTAAATGAGTGTTCCGAGCGCAAAAGGTATAAAGAAAAGGTGATGACCTGAGAGAAGAGTCAATAATAGCACCCAGTACTTTATCTCTCGTTCGGCGTCTCGGGAATGTAGGATAATAAGGAAGTTATTTTAGCGTCTTATCCTCCTGATTGCGGCGAGGATTGCAGAACTTTTTCTCAACCTAAACTTGCAGACAACATTAATTTAAGACGTCACTGGAGCTTGAGGCTGTCAATCTGTATCCTTCTCACTTTCTTTGTCCGCTTGCCAGCGCACTCTGTTTCACTCTGACTCCAATTTCAAACAAAACAATGCAGTACAAAAATTACCTGACCAATAACTAAACCCAGGCTTATATTTCCGTATCATGTTAGACATTTGAACTATTTATAAATACTATAGAGTCGACCCGCGTGTTTTCTGGGTATCCCGTTGTTTTTCCGAGAACTGTCGAACAGGTAATCCATGAATTATAAATTCGCATATTCCGAGAAATCAAGCTTTTGCCTCAATTGGAGAAGAATAAAAATATCACAAAAGTTTCCTCATCACCAAAAGTTGCATTAATGAGATAGCTTTTCGCACTGTCATCGTCTTAATTCTTAGTACGTGCCTGTACAACTCAGTCAGCGGAATAAGGAAAAAAACAAACAAAACAAAACCATTATTAAAATTCATAGACAGGCGACATTTCCGCTTTTCCTAGAATTGGATATTGTGACGTAAGAGTAATGTTTACAATACATTTAAAATTGCGTAAATTGAAAACTTTGCCGCAGCCGATATAAGAGTCGCCTAACACTTCGGTTGTATTTCTTCAAGATGCACAAGCCAAGGCAGTCATTTTGACAGTTGCATTCCAACTGGTAAGTACCGAGTAACATAGTTATTTTGCAAGTCCTGACGGATGCAAATAACTGACTGGCCCGTGGAAATAATGTGACTGTAAAACCGTGAACGAAAATTTTGGTA